CTGTGTAATTATCTGCAAATCCATGAAAGTTCAGCTTTATAATCTTTGAAACAGCATAGAAGTACTGAGAAGCAGTATATTTTAGTGGTTTGAACAATTCCAGAGTTGATCTCAGTGAAAGAAGTCAAAAAAAAAAATAAGTTTAAAAAAATGTAGATATGGCTGTTACATCCTTAATTTGTACATTCTTTATCAATGTACTCTCTAGAGGTAAAACATTATGACCACTCATATCTGAAGTGAATGACACTGGTCATCCCAGGCCATGTCAGCTGTTAGTCGGGGATAGTGGGGTATGTAGGCAGAACTTATTGTGAGCATCTAATTGCCTCTGAGAAAAATAATTTAATAACAGAAAACCTCACATATCCACATACAAATTCCACTTTCATAATGTTCAGTTGTATTCTTCCTCTTCCTTATACATCAACCTGAAAAGGTTGTGTTTGGATTCATTACTCCACAGACAAGAAACAAAAATCTCTAGCTTTTTTCTGTGGCTGTGACGAAATTTGAGTTCTTGTCTTTTGGGTTAGTAGTGGTGAACATTTTGGAGTGAGAGTATGGAGCCACAGCTTTCCTGTCAAACCTCAGTTCTTCTTCCTCCGCCTCAGTCATGGATTCTTCTGCTTCAGCAAATTTGTCTTCAACCAAATCAGGAGATGCTGCTGCTCTCTTTGCCTTTAGCTTCCACTTTTCAGTATCTATAAGTGAAGAGGCAGCTGGAAAGACTGAACCAGAACCAGGTTGCTGGTCCAGTTAGTGTCAGCCTCAGAGCCCCCCTGACCACTGGAGAGGGGCACCGACACTCCTCATAGTCGCAGTAGGAACAAAGGTGTGCGATGATGATGGATGGATGGATGGATGGATGGATGGATGAATGGATGGATGGATGGATGGATGGATGGATGGATGGATTGATGGATGGATGGAGGATGGATGGATGGATGGATGGATGGATGGATGGATGGATGGATGGTGGATGGATGGATGGATGGATGGATGGATGGATGGATGGATGGATTGTCTATTATACCACTTAAAAATAATAAAGCAAATGAGTTACGACTTCACTTATTTTGCCTTAGGGATTAAAAAAGTATTTTTTTAATTTGAATTTGAAATATTCCGTTTAGAGAGTGAATTTTCCCAGACTCATGTAGGCAACCATTATTTCTGTATGATGTGCATAAAATGCCAAATACTGAACATGTAAAGAAAAGAAAGGAAAGAAAAAAGATGGCTTCAGTTTCCTTTGAAATAAAATGTGCAGACTTCCAAATCATTTGAATTTTCGAAAATTAAGAGGCTTCAGTTACTACTTTAGACAGCATATTTTCACTACAACTGTATAGAATGTGTAAATAAATATGAATGTGTATATATATGTGTGTGTGTATATACATATTTATTTATGTATTTATGCTGATATATGTGCAACCTCTGTTCATTTACGCAGCCTTTTCTCTTCCTCTTGTCATCTTTGCCTGTTTACATGTGGACAGCTAACCTCATATGCCTGTTTTTAATCTGTGAGAGTCAACAGCACTAATAACCATGAAACTTATTTCACAACAGATGCATCCATTCCATGAACTACGCATTTTTGTCACATTTCATTATTTTCACCCTGAGCACCGTATGAATAAAAGCAAATAGCGTATCCCAGTATTTTTTTTTTTTTAAGCTAAACACACATTCATTTCTTTGTATTTTGGAGGGATGGCTGGGCCCAGGGACAAAGAACTACCACTGACAGAAGCAAAAGGCGTAGACTCTACTGAACCTTAGTTCAAGTCCTGACCCTTGCTCGTGTAGTTTGGTACTTTGGGCCCCATTCACGTCCAGTTCAGTTTACTCTGACATCTCCTTAATCACGCTCTAACTGCCTTTCTCTTCTTTTCTCATGGCCTGAGGTCATGGATTCTCTTTTCTTCATCTTACCGCTCCAGTGTTCTACATTCCTGGGCTTGAGTAGCTTGGTGTGTCATGCTCTTGTATTAATATAGAATTAATTCCTCTTTTATGATTAAGAATATCTATAGCAAACTGTTTTCTTCATAGGCATATTTATATAAACAGCATAAGCTTCACACATTTAAACAAAATTTTTTTAAAGATCAGGTATGAGAAAATTTAAAAGCTTTCCTGTCTCAGAAGAAACTCTGGCTCCACCAAATCACCAAACAGTTTTGAGGAGGATCATCCACATCGTCTTCATGGTGGAAGGATTTTTTTTCCTATCAAAACTGTTGATAGAAAAAAAGTTCTTGTCTTTTGGGTTAGTAGTGGTGAACATTTTGGAGTGAGAGTATGGAGCCACAGCTTTCCTGTCAAAAATGTGTAACTCACTAAAGCAGAAATGTGTTTCCAACACTAAGTGTTTAATAAACATGATTTGATTTTAAAATAATTGGACAGAATTTATTCCCCCTGTTAATCTACCATTTCAAGCTCATACATTTTATTCATTGTCAGCTTTCAGAGCCCTGTGACAGACTGGTCACCTTTCTCATCTGATGACTGCTGAAGATGGGCTTTTAAGGTAGCTTTTAAGGTAGTTTTTCTCCTTTAAGTTCACCCTGAAACCAACTTCATAGTTAATGCCAGCATCAACTGATTCTATAATATTGCTGACTATTTTTTCTACTTCTAACATAAACAGACAAAGAAGTCACTCAGAAATGTTTTTCTATTCCAGGCATCTGGAATTGATGATGGTTTGAGGTACCAACCATCATCAATTCTGATGATGTCACATACATAGAGAGTCCATAACGTCCTAAAATTGTAAGTCATACTTTTTTCTTTGGTGTTTTTCTGTACTCTTTAAAATACAAGCGCTTAATTGCTCTAATGTTTTATTGTTTTTTGTAGGTTTCTGTAAAGTGCAGTGAATGGGAATGTTCTGTTGTTGTTCTTAGGAAGGAGAAATGTCACATAGTAATACTGTATTCCAAATTTGTATGTCACAGTATTCCAGTATTTCTGGAATACTGTGACATTGGTTAAAACGGATGGGTGTTTGTAACCATTCCAAGCAAAAACCAAAGGACTCCTGGACTGGAGCACATTTATTAACATTAAAATTTAAAATAGTTGTAGAGTGAAAATGAAAATAGGAGTTATGAACATAGGTAGAAATGACTGCTGAGGTAAAGAGAGGCAGTCAAGTTCTCTTCTGTTCATTTTGTGCAGAAAGGATACTCTCACAACCTTGGTTGTAATGATTGCTTTAGTGAGTTACACTTAGCTTTCTCAAACCAGTCATTTCCATTAACTGAGAGAGAACATTGGCATCTTTTGTATTAGGGCTCCATCCACACAGAGAGAAACCCTGTAATTTTTTGTAAAGAACAAAAATGAATGTAAAGAACAGAATGAAGCATCACTGAAAATGCTAAAGAAGGTATGCCGAGCCTCAGGATGATGCAAAAAGCACTCCAAACAATACAGAATGGCATCATGTTTGTTATTTGTGAGAGTGAGGTGCATGTAGGTTATAGTCCAATGGTTTTTATCCTTTTTTGAGGTACCAAACCCATCATTTTCATATGCACATTCACTGAACCCTTCTTTAGTGATAAATTAAATATGATTTTTTTTTTCCAAATTCAAGATATAGGTATATGCTTTTTTTACTGGTGCACAAAATGAGTTGTGCATGAACATCACCTGTCTCAAAGAACAAAACCAACACGGTGCATGAACTCACAACAAATTACAGTATTACTTTATTGTGGCTCCAAAGAAATATTTTGGCCCCATAAAAAGAATTTCAGCCCCCAAAAATATATATTTTTTTGCTTTTTTGCTAATTTAAAATAAATTTTGAATTTTTGAAAGAATTTTTTTTAATAGCTCAATTTTTTAAAATTTGAACTTTAATTTGTTTTTGGTAGTTTTGAATCCACAAAATACTCTTTTACTTTTCCCCATCTTCATGCAGCTTCAAGAAGTGTTTCCTTAGTTTTGCCGGTGAGACTAGAGTTGCTCAACTTGACGTTGCATATCATGCAGATGGGACTCTGACTCCCATCCCGTTCCATGATACACCTGAATCCATGTTGTACAACAAGGGTGCTCAAACGTTTTGAGACCAAGATCTACTTTTTCTGTCACCAGCCGGCTAAGATCTACCTCATCACACGAAGACATAAAAATTGTAAATTAAACCCTATTGACTTATTTTCTATGTGAATATACATCAGTTATGTCAGAAATGATAAAGTGATAGAAAACCTAATGTATTCTGGCCCCCAGTACATTAGTATTGGTTTGTGGGATAGTTTGTGGTCTCCCAAAATACCAAAACCACAAAAAAATCTTTACAAAGTTTCCTAAAATCTTCTCTGTGTGGACGGGGCTGAAATATGAAAAATATCTGACCAAGAAACAACAATGGTAAAGGCATGGCTTTCTATACACGTCATTTTTTTCTTATAAACATGCACATGTATATGGCTGTTGTAGGAGGTTTGGTGCTTGCTAGCATGTGCACACTGCGCAGTCTCAATTAAGAGCTCCCTCTACAGGCTGTTCTTGGAATGAGAGGAATTTAAGATCTTTTCATTGCATAAATATTCAAAATTTAAATCTAGGAGACAAATCAAATGTAACATGTGTGACAGTCACTGAATTCTGAGAAGAATCCCAAGAGAATCCCATAACAACACCAAGCTTCTCAAGGGTTGTGCTTACATATATATATTATAAGAAATAAAACATAATTAGGGACAAAAAGTGTCAAATACTAATAATTAAAAAAATGAATAAATATACTTTCACTGAAAAAAGAAAAAAGGGGGAAGAAAAGTGGCTGAAATGATTCATGGAGTAAGGCAACTCATAGTCTGTTGTGAGGATAGGAACTGACAAAAGCAGATCCAATAGCAAACAGAGCTGAGTCGAGAGAGAGAAGGAGGGAGAGACTGTAGGTAGCTCAGAGTAGCTCAGACTCACAGAAGGACGCAGTGGTCCAGGACAGAATAATACTAACAGACCACAAGCTGTAAGCAACTTCTGAAAAGGATATGAAGAAGAAGGATGCAAAAAAAGCTAATTGTTTTTTAACTGGAAATAGCACAAGAATGGAGACCTACATCATTTACAGAAGAATAATCTAATAATCAACTCTTCCAGCAAAGAAATCCAGCAATCGTTCCCGGCAAAGAAAAAATAAGAGAAAAGTGGGAGCAAAATCCTCAGAGCAATATAATTTCCAAACTGAAAAGGAAAACACTGAAGAACAAAACAGCAAGTAAGAAGAAAGCAAACTGGAGTATTTCACAAACGCTCTGCTCAGCTCAGGAAGAAAGATGTCCAAGTCTTTTTCCCGAGTTGATTGGCATGGACCAGCTGGTTGGAAGAGCCCTAGCTTGAGAAAGGAAGTGCATGGCAATCGTTCATGTATGTTAAGAATTGGAGAGAGACTAATGAGGGCTGGTAGTGAAGGGAACCTGCTCGACAAACCCATCAAAATACACAAACAGATTTTCTCAGATGGATCACAGCAAGGATCAAAAGGGCATGCACAACCGCCAGGCCTGCAGGACAAACCCATGTGCACAGGAACTAACATCAGCAAAGGTACATTCACTTTCTTTACATCCTAACTTAAACACAGCTGGTCTAACAGGGAGCAGAGAATCAACACAGTTCAAGGTGAAAAATGATCAGTTGCTAATGTCTTACTAGTACTAGACTGAAAATCTTTTGTTACAGTGAAGATAATGAGCATAAAACATGTTTCTGATTAAACATGTCTACATTTAGAGGCTTATGTTATGAAATAAACAAATTCTGATGCCTATGTAATGTTAAGATAATCACATTTAGTATGACAATTCGCAGGCATGTTTGCGGATAGAGGAGAGGGGGCTTGAGCCCCTGCCTCTTTTATCCTTGTCTCTTTTGTTTTTTTGTTTGCCATTTTTTATTTGGGTGTCAAGAGGTCTGCTTGTGCTCCTCAACAGTAGTATTTAGATAAAAATGATAATTTTCAAAAATAAATTTGTCTGACTGTCCTCGGTCTAAAATGATTGTCAGTGCTTCTGAAAGACAGCAAATAACAATAATAAACAATAATAATAAATTGCTCAAAGTAGGCATAGTAGGCAAAGTAGGCATAGGCATAGTGGGTACAGGTGTACAGCTACAGGTGCTACTAATCAGGACTTTATATAAACCAGCCACTATGGATGGAGAAACAGCAGTGAGTGTCCAGTTTATTTTTGTTAAGTCTCATATGTTCAAACTAAGTGAATTTTGAGTTCTAAAAGAGTTTTTGTTTTTAAAGGGAACATTACTGTTTCTCAGATGGGTATTTGCCTATTGTACTTTTATTTTTTGGGTTATTTGAAGATTAAAGAGAGTGCAAAAGCATAATACCAGTTTATTATTTTTAATTATTCAGCTTGTTGCTAACAATATTTGGGATGGTATATTCCACAATTTCATATGTGGTCCAATTAAATTTTAAAGTTTGGTAAATAAATACTTTATAAAGTCTCATTATTGGTGTGTCTTTTTGGGTGCATTGCGAATGTTCATATTTATCAAACTGTTCTTAGGGGATCCCCCATCAGTCAATTAATGTCCATTACTTTTCTCTGTTCATAGACAAAACAAGTAGTGAGTGGGAACGAGAGAGTTGAGAACATCCTCATCCTGCATGATAATCCAAGTCAAGATCACACAAACCTGTTGTCAGAAAGGTGTTCAACAATAGACTAGATTCATTAGTGGCTGACATATTGTAATAAGTATCTTACAGATGCCTGATTCTAGTGATTTTTTCTTTTTTACTGGGATGTTTGACAGGAGACATGAGCCCAAAAGAACTGAGGAGTGCCAGAAAAGCCTTGTGCATAGAAATTGTCCCTGAGGGAGCTTTTTCAGTTGGAATGGGTGTTTGGCAATATTTCCACCAGAGGGCAGTTCTGAGCTAGCCTCCAAATTGTGAGGTAACTGTCAAACTGCAGCAAAGATTTGTGGAATGGAAACAGTCTTGTTAATGTACATTCTCTCAAAGAGACATAAAACAGGTAGGTGATATGTGAAGATATTAAACGAAATCTCCAGCCACATGCGTCTGCATATTTAACATTCCATAAACGCGCCTTATGGGAGAATGGGACTGAGTGGAAGAAACAAAAGGTTCCCCATGGTGAGCCGGTCTCAGGTAGGCTTGACACATCATGGTTGACATGCTGCACTGGCTTCACCAGTTTAATGAATTGGTCATTTGATAAAACAAAGTTAAAAAAAAAAAAAAAAAAAAAAAAAAGAGAGAGATTTCAAACTTGATGTTTTGTTATACATTCCTTTTTGGCCTGTTTGTTTTCAGAATACCTTAAGATTATATTTACTGTATAGATGTAATCTTTACAGTAGGTGTAAAGATTACTTCTATTGTAAAGTGGCGTGTATATGTGCATGTGTGTATAGATGGAGTGAATTGAACAGACATAAATTAAAATAGTAACTAGGTGAAAGAAATGTTTTTTTTTATTATCAAATGTTGCTCTTCATGTTTCTTGTGATTTATAGATGACCCAGACATTCCTTAGAACCTCTGAAGGTTACCACATTGAATCTATTAGTTGTCATTACAAAGCCAAAAGATTAGTGTTTGTTCAAAAAGAAAACTACATTCCAACATGTATTAATATTACAACTTAATACAGATGTCATATTAATAAACATAATAAATATTTATATTTATTGTGTGCCGATTCCATTTCCATTGTACTAGCGTTGCAACACAAGATGTAAGAAAGATATATTTATCTTTAGAAGTATATATTACATCTGCTTTTGGCTTCCCATGATGTGATTGAGGAGACAGGACTGATCTAGTTCACTGGAGGCCTGGAGGTAAATCGTTATTTTTCACTATGCTGCACAACACTGTGCGAATATTTAGATACAATTTAGACACTTGGGCAGCTATTCAGTCAACTGACTAACAGTGTTATTTAAACTTTTATATGTTAGTGAGACAGATATGGTTTTTATCTGTGTTATTTCTTGAGACAGAAAATTGCTTTAGTGTTAAATAAATGTTTCAAAAAGACTTGAAAATGGCAACATTTTATTTGATGTTTTGCAGTTTACATATGAAGTGTTGAGAAACCCCAACCATTTATTGCTGCATTTAGCAACAAGTGAACATTTTTGTTTTGTAGAGTAAAACTGAAATGCAGACATCTGTGAATAGTTTAACAAAACAGCTGCAACAAATGATCAGATGAAATATGATTCAAAACTGTACACATACAGCTAGCTTTAAATAAATAAACATTATGCATGTTACAAAACATTTCTAACAATAATTGGTGCAGTTTCCAGAAGACAATCAATGTGGTTTAGGAATATTCATAACTAAGTTAAAGTTTTGGGTTAAAGTCAGATGGAAGCTTTGTAGACACAAGGGTTTGAAGATTGAATGAATAGTTTTGAGAATTTCAATTATGTTGCACCAAAGCGAATATCTGAGAGAAAGAGACTCAAATCAATACCTGGTGTAAGACATTCATCATTTTCTTTATTGTAATCAAAACCAAACATCCTGGAATTTACAAACTCATAGTTTGCTTAGTCATTAATGTGTTGTCATGCACATTATCATGAGTGTCCAGAGCATGGCCTGTCATCTTGATAGGCTGGGATTTGAACCCAAGACCTTCTTGGTGTAAAGCAAAAGAGGTAGCAACTGTGCAGCAGAATGAAGTGTACATATTTAATAGATTTAAACAGGTAGCATCATTTATTGAGAGTTTCAATTAAATTTTCTTTAATGCATTCAACAGAGAAAAAATAGTACAAAAAGGATTTGTTAGAAAGTTCACTTTGTAAAAGTTTAAAATGTCATCTTGATAGTTTGATTGCTGTGTTACCATGGCTACAATATGGTAGCTTAAACTTGAACTGGGTTTGTTCAGTCACAGCAAATAATAACCAATATTCAGTAATTGATTTTAAACTTGGCCAATTAATTTGGGCTCAATGTCATAGACTTCACTAAATCTATATTTAAACACATTTAGAGATGCTGAGTTTCTTAGAAGGAGGAGGCCGAGGAGCTAAATCATGATTTTGTATTAGGCCCCATATTACTTTGGGCTGGTTCGGGTTAGGTTGGATTATCAATACTTTTAATCCTCCTGGTCCCCGCAGGATTTTCTTTATCTAATTTGCCAAACTGGTTCTGAGAATACAGTGTTTCTGGGACAACAGTGACGTCAGCTCCTGTGTCTATTTTAAATACAGTCGTTTGTACACCAGTATTGCTATTCCTGGATTATCTTTAACTTCTGCAGAAAGTGATCCCAGGAAAGCAACATTATTGACTGTAGTTGTGCTGTCTGTTGAAAACCCAGCATTCACTTCAAATATTTTTTTATTTCTGCAGACCTTAGCAAAATCTCCCTTTTCATACAATAATTGCAAGCTGCTTCTTTAGCAGGGCAATGATGTGTCGTTTCGTGTCCCCGCTTCTTCTGCACTGAGGTTTTTTATCCTGTGTTGCATCTGGATGATTTATTTTCCTATTTCAAGCCACTACATTTACAAAAAATGGACAGATCCACATTACTTCCTATTTTACTTAGAAAGAAAACAAAAATTAAATAAGAAAAAAATAAAAATAAAATTAACAATTATTAACTTGCTAACCTGCAAAGAAATTTTGTAAATAATAAAATAAAAAAATTTAAAAATAGAAATTTAAGAATACAAGTTTTCTCTGCAGCTGAACCATTCCTGTGAGAGAGGAGAGGTTTTCTTCCTGCGAGGACAAATACAAAAAATAAATATAAACAATTTTTCTAACGTCAACATCAGGCTTATGTTTTTATTGAAAAAAAAATCTTGCCCATAATTTGATGGTTAGAGGGTGCAGGTCACCATGGACCCACTGTCTAAACAACATGGCAGCAGAGAAACTGAGTGTCATTATTAGACCGAGAGCAACCAGACTGATTTATTTTACTAAATTATTATACTAAATGTTATTATTGAAGGGCACAAGCAGGCCTCCTGACACACAAATTAAAGAAAAACTGAGAAGAAAAAAACCTCATTAAGGGCACTAGGGGCATCAAGGATAAAAGGGGCAGTGGCTGCCCCCTCTGCACATGGCTGTTGCTGGGGAAATTAATGTCTGAGTTTCCCTCCTGGACCTGTTACCCAGCAACCTGATCTCAGATAAAGCAAAGTATAATGGATGGATTGGCTTTTGTTTACTTGCTAATATGATGCTTGTAGCTGGTTTCATCAAGTCCCATGCACTTGAAGTCTCATGTAGATTTTGGTTTGGAAACTGTACATCCCCCTATCTTTCAGTGCATCATCCCTATTTTTTTCCTCTCATCCTGTTTTTTCTTTCATTTTTCTCTATTTGACTTAGATTTTGGAATCTTGCCATCCAACCTCTCTCACTCCACAAATTTGACTGCCAGTAGCAGCGGCATAGAACATCTAACAAAGAAGAGGGAACACACTGACATCAATCTTTCCACAGTTGATCCAGTTCTATCCTCCCCAAATACTTTACCTAGAAATTTTACACTTGTTGGTGCCACCTGCAAAGATGAGCAGCAGAACAGTCAAAAAATACCAAAACTGGATTTGGAAAAGAAAAAGGATGTGTTCCTGAAACACCTCAAACAAAAATATCCTCACCATGCTGATGTCATCATAGGACATGGAGAGAGTACGAAGGTGAGTCATATACTGTCACATTCATAATCACTGAAACATTGTCTGTGCTGCTGTTAATTTAGTAACTTACAGAGGATTGCAAAAGTTTGCAAAAGTATCCATACCACTTCAATGGTGGTATGGATATCACCTGCAGACCCTTTTGCTATATTACAACCGTAAACATAAATATATTTCTTTGGAATTTGACGTGACAGACCAACACAAAGTGGTAAACAGTTGTGAGTTAGAAAAAACATTATACATGATTCAAACATTTTTTTTTACGCATAAAAAGCTCAGAAATGTGGCGTGTAAAAATATTTAGCTCTCTGTACTGTATTGATTTAGTTTTGTCCATTCTTCTTTGCAAAACAGCTCAAGTTAAGTCAGATTAGATGAAGAGCATTTGTGAACAGCAGTTTTCAGATCTCGACTGGGTTTAGGTCTGGACTTTGACTGGTCCATTCTAACACATGAATATGTTTTGCTTGAAACAATTCCATTGTACCCCCTGTTTATGTTTAGGGTGGTTGTCCTGCTGGAATGTGGAAATCTTTTTACAGCCTAAGTCTGCTTTAAACTTCTCCACAGCTTTCTGCTGTGTTCTTTGATTATCTTTAGTCATCAACAGCCATTAGGAAATGTCTGCAATCAGAGATAAGGTGGTCAAATACTTTCATACATTGCAATTTGAGTTTTTTATTTGTAAAAAAAAAAAAAATTTCAATCATGTTTAATATTTTTTCTACTTCACAAATGTATACTTTGTGTTTCTGTCTCACAAAAAAATTCTATGAAATACATTTATGTCTGTGGCTGTAATGTTGCAAAATACATCAAAATTCAAGGGGTGTGAGTAGTTTTGCAAGCCATTGTCTATTATTCAGCAAAGAGTTTTTAACTTTTTTTAACGGTAGACATGTCTATCGTTTGACTCCATGAGCAGAGGCATTTAAATGTCACTTTTCAACTGTGAGTTTTGTGCTGTCTGTGTTAGTAATGAAAGAGGACTTCAGTGTGCTGACAGAGAACCTCTGATAGGAGATGTCCCAACTTGCTTAATGAGTCATTCTATAAAGTTGACAAGTTGGTCTTCATGTGCCTGTCAGACAAGTACAGCCAGTATTATTAGCTGAGGTGGAGCTGTGTGGAACAGCATTGTGGTGACAGAGTGGCTGAGCAGGAGAAACAAAGTTGGTCTCTGTCAGAGGACTTGATTCTGACACAGAAACAAGCTACACACACAGAACACAAGTTTCCACACGGATCAAGAAAACACCAAAGATGGAATTTTACCCCTCAAAATGGAATATTAGCTCTTAAATCTAACTCCCCATGCTGATTAGATGGAGAGCGTTTGTGAACAGCAGTCCTCCTTCCCAGCTGGTGAGTACCTAGAACCTTAACAGTCAATGAGGATTTAATGTCTGTCTAAAATCTAAAAAATAGCAACTGCAGACCGCAGCTGTTGAATGCAAAGCACTAGAAAAGGTGTGCTTTCTCTGTGTGTGAGCGTGTGTGTGTGTGTATGTGCGCGTGTAAGGCGTGTGTGCCTGCGTGTGTGTGTGTGCTGGTGTGTGTGTGTGTGGTGTGTGTGTAAAAAGGAAGTACCGGATTTCCTTCTATGCAGACCATCGCTATGTTTACCTGCGTGACAAGAGACTGTTACGCTTAGGCAAGTGTCATGCTGTCATATGAGATTTTTTCTAACTGAAGTCACTTTGCACTTTGTTCCTCAATACTGGTGTTAAGTTCCACAGTAAACCTCATTTAGAATATTTATTTTGAAAACTCAGCCTCATATAGTTCACCGGTGTGCTCAGAAAATCTTCCATTCAAACACAGCAACCAATGATTACATGAGACATATGTTAATAGACTGAGATGATTCAGAATGACCTGGCAACCAGATCTAATCTGCTGTAGTAGGATGACTGCAGCAGAACACGACAAGACAACAGATTACCTGAACAACCTGCTCATTTCCACCTGGGCAGTTTGGGTGGAGCAAACAGAACATTGCTCACATTGCATACAACACACGAAGTCACATGAGAAACAATGATTCACAGTTGTTTTTCCTAAAACGCCATTTTGCACAACATGATGGTGCATCTACTCAAGTATGCTTTGATGAGGAAACAGCATTATAACATGATATAAAACAAAAAAAGTAGATTTTACATAACACTACCCATGTAATATTCAGAAGAAATTTAATATTAAGACAACGGACACCCAATATTTCTTCAGACAAAATAGAATCATCTAAATATGCTTGATTCATAACAGAACTGAATATTCGGACGGAGAGGTGTGTTCTGATGGTACCTCAGAGTGACAGCCGCGGGAAAGAACTGTCCAAGCAGTTTGTGTCCAGAATATGTGGAGTCTACAGAGATGTTAGGTGCCCTTTTCCTTACTCTAGACCTGTTCAAGTTTAGGATGGAAGGTCAGGCCTCATGATTCTCTTTGCAGACCTGATCCTTTGTTGCAGTTTGGACCCATCCCGTCCTGTTCTAGGAACAGGAAGTGATCCATAGTCGACAGTGTTGTTGAGAATGGTGAGGGGAGGACATGTACCTCACCGGCTAGCCAGTCAATCTACCTCCTGTGTGCATGCATGTTTGTCAGTGTCTTAGATCAGAACAATGACTGCGGGGTTATCTGCAAGCGTCAGGAATTTCACAGTCATTTGGGTTCAGAGAGGCGTGGGGATAGAACACACCTCATTGGTTCTGGGGCTGATGGTTCTTGTGTGGAAGAAGATGGTCCCCAGCCTTGTCTGTGGCTGTCAATCAGTCAGTCAGGAGGGCGTCACTGCCACTGACAGCAATGAGCTGGTGAGCTGCTCGTGGAGGATGTCAGCTCAAAGAATTTCATAGTTTTCCAGTGCTTTGTTATTACACTGATCCAAAGGTCTTACAGGTAGGAAAAATTTGCAAGCTATGTTTTCTGTTTCCCTTTCATTTCCAAACTGCAGCTACATATCTCTGTGCTTATGTGGTTGAAATGTCTTTAGAGAGAATGCAAATTTTTACAAATTAATAACCTTGCAAAAAGCATCCAATTCTCAAAGACCAGCACTGTCAGTGACACAGAGTTATAGGGAAATATCTATAGGCTCTCAAAAGCAGGTCATGTTTTCATTCCACAACAAGAAACATGAAATGAATAACCAGTTTCACCAAAAGAAGACTGGAATGTGACAGAGTATTTTCCTTTTGCCTTTTAGGGAACAGAGCCGAGTATTGCTGCTAATTATGCATGTAGTTAACTAATAAATCCCCAAGCAATATTTGAACTTATGTTGTTGTTGATTTATATTTAAAAGACAAACTTCATAATTAGAAACCTAACATCTTTAAATATATTATAGAATGTTCAACCCCTAATATAACTGTGAGGGGCCATTTAGGACAAAAACTATGATTTGTCTCACACACAAAATATTAAAACTGCACTTGTATACTACTTAAATATCACACGTGCATAGCTCTCGGAGTTTCACTAAGGTTCTTGTAAGTGATCCGGAGTGAGCGGCATAGAGCCCTCAGTGAACGGCAAAGGCTGGCTGAAATTAGTGTTCATAAATCGGATAAACCTGGAGCTAAACGCTGCTTACACCGTGGCGCATGCGCAATCTGATCTCCAAATTATGCCCCGAGTCTTCTGTGACAACTCACATACAAAAACTGAGTCTCTGACGCAGACATCCCCATTCATTCATTCATTCATTCATTCATTCATTCATTCATTCATTCATTCATTCATTCATTCATTCATTCAGCCTAGTCTTAGTTCACACACACATACATTTTCGACCTATCATTTAGAATAGTATGTCTGTATGCTTTGTGTGTGTGATATTAGTGTATATGTGCAATTTTTATATTTTATGTATGTGTGAGAGAAAAATTCTAACATCTTGGTGAGTAACATGGATGGGAAGCAAAAGTTTTGTTTAATTGAATAAAACATTAAGATTTATATATATATATATATATATATATATATATATATATATATATATATATATATATATATATATATATATATATATATATATATATACATATATATATATATATATATATATTGTAGATATTTTTAAGAAAAACTAATCAATAAAGACCCAGAGTGTTGTCTTTGTTTTTTCAACTGGTTTTTTGCAATGCTGAATCAAAAAATGACATCCATTTTTCTCAGTCAGGTCAGGTTTTTATTCTAATTTGATTGAGAGAAATCTAATTTTCTGACTAAATTTATTACATTTTGTGACATTATCAGTTAATTTCCGTTAATATTTCTCATCCAAAAAAAGGTCTCAGGACAAAAAAATGTTTTCTTACAGAGTGTATTAAATAATTGTTACAAACTTGGATTTCTGTAAATTGAATAATGAACACTAACATGTGAATTGAGCATTACGTCTTCATTGTGTAAAATTCTGCATCTCTTTTCTGTCCTGATGGAATCTGTCCCCCTGCTCATCACTTGTTGATCCCAGATTCTCAGGAAACTGATCCACATGTGACAAAAAGTCCTGCATTTTGATGCTCATGTTGCTCCATAGTTCAGAAAGTTGACCTGAGTGAGCAAAACCAATATGATTTTTGGATTTGGTGAAATTATTAATATCAACCGATATGAAAGGCTTATATTGTGATTCATTCTTCAGCCATATAGCCCAAAATGATTTTTTCTGTTACTTTTTTCTCATATGACCTCAGTGCTTTCTGCTTTTTAAAAAAAATCCAGATGAGGAACCTCCTATCTTCTAAAAGCCTCGACTGTTCATTTGTTGAGAGTTTGGTGAAAGAACAAGAGCCTTGGGTTTTAGAGACCATGTCTGACGGAGAGCTTCCCTCTACATCAGTTACCTTCACACGAGGCTGTAAAGCCAGAGCAAGTCTACCTGCAGTACGATCCAACTGTCAAACAAGAGACAAGCTACCAGGTAGACAGAAACACATGCACTCAACGTCACATTAAAGCAACCATATCATTAATATATGTGACAGCGGTTGATGTTCCTGAACATGGTGTTCAGTATCTTACATTTAAATCCACTGAGCTTGTGCTTCTTCACACTGTCACAAAGGATAGAAAACAGTGTGAACTTTGACTGGACCATTCTAACACATAAACATGTTTTGCTTGAAACCATTCCATTGTAGTACCTCTTTATGTTTAGGGTGTCACTGCCTTTCCCCAGAGCAGCATTTCATTTCAAACTCCTTAATAGGTTTATGAGATGATTGCATGTTCTCCTTTTATAATGCAGGACATCTTGAAGGAAGGAAGATTTTTTTATACATTAAAAAGCAAAAAAGAAAGTCTGACTCTTGCTACATTTTGGCCTGCTTTCCACCACTGGGGAAAATGACACCTGCTGTGTGTTGCATGGGTCAAGGTTTCTATAACATGTTTTTGCAGAATGTCTCTTCAAGTTGAAAGCTTTGCAGACCTACACTGACTACAGAATGCCAGTTGTTAAAAAGTTGAAGAAAGCACCAGATTGCATAGTCTTTATTTTGACGCATTCACTCAACCTGAACCAGCATGATGTGAAGGAATCACTCTCTTCATGGGAAAAAATCTTAAACAAAACCAAGTTTAGGATGAGTCAACCTGGCCCAGAATAATTGACCTAGATAAAGGGTCATATATGTATTACCAAATTAGAAGGAGAGGAAGGGAGTGTTTTATCCTGCATTTGATGAAATGTGTTTTGAAGCTAAAATCACATTTTCAATGTTTTTTCTGTTTATTTGCATTTAGTTTATTCTTCTCTATATGAGGGTTTACAAGCCAATACTTCTCCTGCTGTGGACAGTTCTGTTACGTTCTGTTTGTGTGTGCTGTGTCAGGTGTGCTTCTCCTGCAGTATGAGGGAGAGACAAAACAGGTCATGATTTCAACTGAAGTCAGCAGCCATGACACCCTGCAGGCTCTGTTTGTCACTGCCTTTCCCCATCAGCTCACCATGCAGATGCTGCAGCCTCCGAACATGGCCATATGCATCAAGGACACCAAGCGTAACATGTACTATGACCTGAAGGACCTCAGGTGAGGGGCTGTTGAAGCAGACTAAGGTATATCTAAACAAAAATATTGGAAACACACATCTTACCTGAACCAAGGGAAAAAAAACAGACCTGGACTGTTGCTCAGTAATCCCAAGTTCTCTTTTCAAAAAAGTGTACATTTCCTGTGGAAATCAACGTCACAGAGCAGTGGTTCTTAACCTTTTTTGAGATACCGAACCCACCAGTTTCATATGCACATTCACTGAACCCTTCTTTAGTGATAAATAAAATATGATTTTTTTCCCCCAAATTCATGATATAGGTATAAGCTTTTTTTTACTGGTGCACAAAATGAGTCACGCATAAACATCACCTGCCTCAAAAAACAAAACCAACACATTCTTCTTGCTTCCAGAGACATAACACCAAATTCCTGTCTGAAAGCATATCATAAAGACCCTGTCCATGTGTTCTGCCCCTCTGCCAGGTCTGCCAACTCTGAAGGAATGGTAAGTCAAAGAATAAAATTCCTGAAGAAATTTAGAAGGGGCCTGTAGCCTAGTTTGTGCTTTTTGGACCAGAACAAAAGGTTCTGCCCAGTGGAATTATCTGCCTCCTTATTAAGCTTAACCAACTCAAGTAATGTCTATCCAACTAAATTGAATACATTTTCAACTTTTTGAGTTTATTAACTGGTTGGGAAATCACTCAGAAAATATTAAAATTTTCTGAGTGATTTTGGATTCCTCTCATTATTATTTCACTTTTCTGAAATGAGTGGCAAAAACATATAATTTTTTTCTGATGTTTAATTCCTGTTAGATGTACTTGTTGTACCCTGTTTTAATTTTGCTCCTGTCTCACTCAAAGACTGAGAAGCAGAGCAACTTTCTCCTGAGAAATCTGCTGGGACTTTATTTCATCTCATGTTGCAGAGACATGAGGAAAGATGGGTTCAACTAGAGTAAACAGTAAACTATAGTCTGGTTACCTGTGTGCCAAGTAGCACCAAATATGTCACCTTGCCATGAGTAATAATTCTTCTCAAGTTTAAAATTACAAAAAATAATTTCTTCTTCTCTGAGATACATAAGTGTCAGAACATTCCTCTGTGGATCTGAAATCCCCACAGAATAAGAGACACTTAAAAACAGACATGCTATTAGTTTCCCATTGAAATTATGTTTTACTACTCTGTTGCTACACCAGCTTAATCATTATAATGCTATTCTTATGCACACATCTTTTACTGACTTGTGTAAACAGTAATTTAGTTGCCTGTCATTGCCTTCCTTTGCAATTCTGCTCGAAAACAATTCTCGCGTACAGCACAGTCTGGCCTTTCTCCCATCTACTTGGTTTCCATCTATGGGGGAATTTTTCTGTTATAATCCAAGAGTGCACATTTCAGTCTGAAAGTGGGATTTCATGTCTTTTGTTCTCAAAATTTTTAATGTTTTTGTTTACATTTTTATTTTGAAAGCAGGATTTCATGTCTCTCTTCTCAAAACTTGTAATGCTTGTACTCAAAAACGTCTCCTCAGACTTAGTGTCTGCTAAATTCTGCTTATCATTAATTTGCTGATTTTTCTTTTTTTTTTTCTTTTCGTTTTTCACTTTGTTATTGGACAATAAAACACAGGAGAATTTGGTTTGCCGTCACATGATTATTTCTGGCCTCAGTTCTGAATATTATTATTTTTTGCTCATTTATTTAATTGTTTTTCAGCAGATATCTAAGGAGGTGTTGTATGAAAGTCACAGTCCGATCCACAGCAAGCATTCATCCGGTCGCAACACCCTGCACAGTTTGCAGGGATCAATGTCCCCGCCGATAGTCCGCTCCATGCCCTCCTCTCCTTCCAGACTGGCTTATAGTGGAGGTGGCATCCTCGGAAAAAAAGGAATGGTAGACCCAGGGAGTACCACAATACCACGTGAATGTCAGCCTGGGCGACGGCGGTCCAGCACCGTCTTCTCCAGCAGTAGTGCCATACTGGAGAGAAGAGATGTAAAACCTGGTGAGAGGCTGGTGGAGTTTTTATTTCAGGATTATTGTAATGAGCCACCAGGGTGTGGAAGTATGGAAGAGGATTAGGGCCACTGGTTAAAATGTAAAGCAGTTCTGACTTTAATCTCAGAGTTCTGAGATTAAAGTAAAAAAAAATATTTTTTTCTTTTTTTCGGTGGCTCTAATCCTCTTTCGTGTGGAAGAACTCTGAGGATTGACAAAAATAATGAACCAGACGCCTGCAACATTAGAGATAAACTAATAAAAGTATTTAGAACTGTGGACAACATACAGTAAACAAACAAAATATATATGCATATAATGAATATAATCAAATATGTGCCTTTATGACACAAGATTGTTGAGGATCCAAATGCAGTATGAATTATTAAAATGATTGAACTGAATCATTGAATGAAGTGATTGAAAAAATATTAATATTTAGGAAAAAGAAAGTATACCGTAGAAGTGCCGTATATACTGTAGAACATTTAAAGGTCAGAAATAAATAAGAACTTTTGTAAATATTATATGAATAAATAAACTGACCAGCTAGAAGCCTACAGGGTGTTACTCCTTCAATCTATGTTAATAATCTTGGTATGATTTGCATTTGCAGCATCACTTAGCTTCTGTTGTCTTTGACAGTAATGCACTCTCCATCAGGTTTTACTGACAAATCTGCAATTCGAGTTTGTTGAACCAGAGATCCGGTGTGTGAAACTCAAATTGAACCTTTTCTCTTTTTCAGTTCTTTCATTACAATGGTGTGAATTTAAAATCTAATGTGGTTGTCACGTTGAAAGCAAAGTTTTTAAAAACAACTGACTCGACAGTTTAAATCTAAATGAAAGGGTAGGACTACATAGGCAACAAAATAGTCAAGTACAGGTTAATATTTAATAGTCGCAAACATGTACTAATCAACAGTTGGTTACTCATCTAAACATGGAGACAATGTGTGATAGAGCACCATTGAACAGAAATAATGGAAATGATTGAAAAAACCAAGACTCCACAACAAAAAAAAAGAAAATATTGAAAAGCCCAAAAATAACAATGAGCAGAGATTGAAATCAAATCAGGGAATCATTGGCTCTTTGTTTGCACCTTAATTCCAGTGACAGCCAAAATGATTTTTTAAACAGACAAAAAGGTCTGGTGCAATTTAAGTTAGTTTGAAAGTAGAGCTGTAAACCTGTTCCTTATATTTCTAATAGAAAATATTACTACCTGAAAATTAATAAATGCTTATGTTAATCTTTTCTGTTATGAGAACATTATGTATTTTTTTTCTCTATGAATTTAAATTGTAGCAATTCTCGTGAGAATAGTTTGCAAGGAACTTCGGGTTCCTTGCAAACTAACCTGCATGATTTCTAAAAGCTGAACTTTGTGCTTGTAATTGTCACATAAAGCTCAGATCTGCACTTCTTTCTGTCTTAAAACGTTTCCAAAACGTTTATGTGTGCATGTTAGACGGAGACATGAATAAAAGCACAGCCTTGGTGCTGCGTGGAGATGGAGGATCACATTACCCGGAGTACTACCGTTCAACCTCAGTGGAAGTTGGAAGAGGTCACCACAGTATTTCCTCCTATTGTAGCAGTCCTCCTATGCTCACTGGAGGAAAAGCTGAGGTAGGGGTGCTTGGGATCCCTGGTGGGCTGCAACAGTACCGAGCCTCCATCAAACCCCTGACGATCCATGGGGACAGCCTTCAAAATCATAGCAATTCTCTTCACAGGTACACTGACTTCCTTAAACATCTCTTTAAAGATTTGCATTTAAGCACCGAGGGAAAGAAACAGATGCTGAGCACATGCTGACTCTTTTAAAAAGTACATGTGCATACACTGTCCAGATTAGCCCTCCTCTCATCAACTGAATTATATCAGAGAAGTTTCCCCAGGTTTATTCAGTCTCTCAGTAGTATGTTCAAGGTTAACAATATTTTACAGACTTCATTTTCAAAAGAACTTCATACATATACAGTGGCTTGCAAAAATAGTAATACTACTTGAACTTTTCCATATTTTGTCACATTACAACCATAAATATTTCATTGGAATTTTATATGCAAGACCAACAAAAAGTGGTCTACTATTGTGAAGTAGAAAGAAAATCATATTTGACTCAAAATATTTTTTTACAAATAAAAAACTTTAAAGTGCCAAAAACTTTAAACCAACCAGTTTCCTTCAGAAGTTTCCTGATGTCTGCTAATGACTCAACCTGTGTGTAATCTAATCTCAGTAGAAATCCAGCTGCTCTGTGACGCCTCAGAGGTTCAGGAGCAAACGGCATCACAAAAACCAAGGAACACAGCAGGCAGATCAGGGAGAAAGCTGTGGAGAAGTTTATAGCAGACTTGGGTTGTAGAAAGATTTCTGAGGTTAAACAAGAAGAGCTCTGATCAGATATGCAGCTAAGAGGCCTATGGTGACTCTGGACCAAATTCAGAGATCCACAGCTCAGAGGAGGAATCTGTCCACAGGACAACTATTAGTCATCACTGCACAAATGTGATCTTTTTGGAAGAGACACACATGCACACATTCTTTACATTGATGATGCAATCTAAAGAATGAAATTAGCCAAGCTTTAAATTCAGTGGTCCCTCCATAATACTTGCACTTCAATAACAAAAAAGGCTTAGCTTTAATTGTACCCAGTAAACCTCTAGGAGTTTCTAGTTTTCATAATTAAAATTGTTATGAACCTGAAAATGACTTTTATGGGAACATTTCAGATGTAAGAGAAAAGAAACACAAGAAATGAATTAGCTGGATCTGTTAGAATTCCAGCTGGGGACTGTCCACGCTTAGTCCCCAGACTGTCCAGAGTGTGATATTGATTCATACTGTGTGAATCAGTTATTTATTTCTCTGTCTGTTTGTTGTCCCATTCTATCAGGCAGAAGAACAGGAAGTATGGAGACAGTCAGACTCATCCAATCAAAAGTCCGCCCCCCTCCTCTCTCAAAGGGAATGAAGTCAGGATGTTTAATGGACAGGTGATTGGAGGTGCAAGCCAAGTGTCTCTACAGAGTATGTCACCGAGTCACCGCTCACTAGAACGCAACAGTAGTGGGCTCACAGTGGATGTAATAAACAGAAGAGGCTCATCATCCTCTAGCTCAGCAGTATTTCTTGACAGTCCTCTGGGTCAACCTGAAACTGTTTTTCCGGCCCATATTTCTCCTTGTAATGTCCAAAGGTGAGGCTGTACCTAATGTTATCCTGAGCTGACATCTCACTGCATTAGTTTGTATTAGTCTGTATAGATGTCTTCTTCATCACCTTATTTGCCTCTATGAAGGTTTATTCTGTTGGGTTTACTGTGTACCTCTTAATGTGTAAATTATTAAGCAGTACAAGCAGTATAATTATTAAGCAGAAGGTTTTGAATACAAACTGAGGTTTGAATTCAAGGTTTTCAACCAGCAACTATCACAGGACATATACACAAACAATAACAACCCCCCCCCCTCCTTTTTTTTAAACTGTACTATATTTCTTAAAGTTACAATAATGACATAATCACTCATGTTACACTCAGTAAAATACGATTGACTACTAACAATTAACATTTCCTAAATGGTTGGCAAAACTGAAAGAGGGAAGGCAGGAGTCAACCTTGTGGCTGGAGGCAGTAAAAGACTCCATAAATTTTCACTTGCCTTACAGTCTCTCCAGTGCAACTCAATGGTGAAATTCAAAACACCTGAAATATGGTCAGTCCAGCCGAGCCACACGAATAACATTCGATTTCACCAGGGAGTTGTATATGGCCCGTCGCTCTCAGCAAGAAACACATCCAGTTTATGGTTCTGGTCAGCCTCAAAGGCAACCTCTCAAAGATCCGAACAGCTGCTGACATTTTTCAAATTTCACAATGTGCCAGCGAAATGCCATCTCCAAAAAACAGAAATCCAAATATGAACAAATCTACAACATCCTTGACTGATAGTATGGACACACACACTGTCTTCCACTTCCCCCAGGAAATCAGAGTGTATCCACCAATATGTGTCCCATCAGAGCAAGAGGGCTCTCCTTTGTCCAGTCTTCCTGTCAAGAAAATTTGATTTATTGCATTGAGAGACCAGCTGACCAGATCCATAATTTGTAAATTCAATCTGGAGAGACTCACACAGAGAAGAGAATAGCAGTTAGAGATTTAATGATACAGAGTCTTTGGCGCTCGGCCCCGGCTGAAGACTGTGAGTCGTGGATCACCGCGGGCAGGACATCAGCTCGGCCGAGCTCGGACAGTCTTCCCCGGGGCCGAAAACCGGTGGTGGAGCTGGGTGCAGAAGGATCCTGGAAACATCCATCAGAACAGAGGTGGAGAAGAGGGGAGGAGGTGGGTTGTGCGCAGCGACGAGCTGGTTGACCCTCTGGTAGCTTAGCTTTTGAAGACGGTCCTGGATGATGATAGGCTCGAAGCTGAGAGTTGCTCCAGCCCTGATTGGTTGAGGTAGGACGTGGTGATTGCGAGATGAATGTCAGTCTCCCAGGTTGAATTTTCGCCTAAGCTCCATTTCAGAAAATTTGCAAACAGAGGCTCAGAAAAGAATAGTCAGACTGGACACAAGAGCAAAGAGCAGAGGCAAAGGACAGAGGAATGGAGAGAAGAAAAAGCATCCACTTTCACTGAGAACAAGAAAGAAAAAAAAACCAATGCATACACAAAACGTATTTCAGGGAAAGGGACATGTCAAGATTGGAAACAGCAGTCTGTGTGGTTATGGTGTTAAATATCATCTTGTGTTACATGGTTTGTTTTGTTGAAACGAGAAGATTTATCAACACATGGCCAAATGTACTTAACAAAACCCTTTAAATATGAAAGGGTTTAAATATGTTGCATATCACTATAGACTTACCTGGTGCTGCCATTTGTTTTATTCGGTTTTTCTGATTATGTACTTTTGATCTCAGACTAGCAACATTCTCACTTGAATTTAGCAGCACCATGATCGTAGGCTTTTTAATAAACAAAAATGCTCCAATGGATTGGCTATTAATTTGTTTTTGTTTTTTTACAGTGAGAGAATGAGAGCCATGGAGGAGCAGATAGCCAGTCTAGCAGGACTGGTGCACCACGCCCTGTCCATGAAGTCAGATGTTCTGGGACAAAAGGAGGTTATCAGGTTCGTCTGTCTACAGAAGGTGCAATTTAGCACAATATGACAATTAAAGATGCAGTGATATTTTACATCAACCTGTTTTTAGCTTTACTTCATGTTATCATGTTATTCCCTCATCAAACACATATCTTGAGTGTTGCTTTGATTCTTTCATTCATGTTTGAGAAATTCCTTAAAACCATGGCGACCATTCAGCTGAGCAGATCTAGTGCTGTCTTTGAGACACAGCTCCTCCTCACAGCTGCAGCTTTCAAGCCCAAATTTAAGATGTTAAATTATGAAAGTCAAATTTTTTGTATGTCGTATTTTATACATATCAACTGAAGGTAATAGTTACTTGATTGTCTTATGAAATGATACTATGTGTCTGGAAAACACATAATGCTGCCCCTTTCAAGTAAAAACAGATTTCTATTTATAACTGGGTTTATCAGATGGTACTCACTTTGAATAAGCTTCATTGAACCTTTCTGAAAATAGTGTGAATTTGTTTTTTCTAGTCAGAGACCTGAAGACAAACTCCTCAGTAATCGACTTGGTGAGAAGTTTTCAGGTACACCCGCTACCTAAGCAACACTTGTTTTCTTCAGAATATCCTGAAAATTAATCCATTTTCTTTCTTGGCTTCCAGAGGCATTCTCTGACTCAAAGACCCCTGCTGCTCTGACTGAAAGCTTCAGCCCCACTCCTCTTGCCCTCGAGGTGTCCAGCTGTGATGGTGGACTGCGACACAACTTGATGTCTGTGAAGAGAAATATTTGTGAGCTGCGGCTGCAACTCAGCCAACTTAAGTGTTTACAGGTACTAAGCTAAACATTTCAGGACTGTATTGAAAATGTCACAAATATTTCTTTAAAATCCCAAGTGCTACAATTTGTTATCCATTTTTCATCAATGTTTTACTCCTTCTGTACGTCACCACTAACATGTGGTGAGCCACCCAAGAGAGTAATGGGTTGCTATAACAGCTATAATTTGAATTATTTAGCTTATTATAAGAGAAAGAAAATAGGTAAAACTTTCAAAGAAAAGAAAGTAACTATGAGAAACTTGAAATATATCTAAATTTACTTGCTGTTAGGCTTTTGAATCCTTTGTTTTTGGTTTTATTTGTGTTCTCAAGTTTTGTATTTCTGTTAGATCTGCCTTGTTTCTCACGAAGTCGCTAAGCTGACAACATTCCCTTATCCTGATCACAACAACAGTTAAACCCTTTGCTCATCTGCACATTTGGGCGCAGCCTTCAGTATTTAATGGCCCAACCAACTTTGGTGGAAGAAAGAAGATTTGAGGTTTGGCAGAAAAGCTGTGGGTCAGAGGAGGGTGGGATGTCTGTATGGCTGGAGACAGGGAAGGAGGAGGATGATGATGATGATGATGATGATGATGAACTTGTTCCTGAACTGAACCTGTTCAGTGTGTTCAGTTCTATCCAGACTTCCATCTGTCTGTTCCTCCTTTTGCTTGAAGCCTGACCACAGATCTCTGATATTGTTCCTCTTCAGTTTATTCTCCAGCTTCTTCCTGTTCTCCTCTTTGCTGTCTCTAACCTTGACTTTGAGCATCTTCTGTGTACTCCTCAGTAACTCTCTGTCTCGTTCCCCAAAGACTCTTTGTTTCTGCTTTATCAGTTCCTTTAGGTCACTGGTGATCCAGTGACCATCATTCTGGTGGGGATGATTCTGTCTGTTTATAGTTTATAACTATAAACATACTCAGTCCTGGCACTGATGTCATCTCCATGTGGCTGGCAGAAAGTAGTCCAATCAGATGCTTAAACTGATTGAAACAATTATTAAAATAGGTCCAAAATCTTGTTTTAGTGGGTGGAGCAGCTGACAAACTGGTGAAACATTGGCAGTGCAGAAGAGAGAGAGGCATGATTAAAATCACCATATATTACCAAAAATATGCTCTTTAAATCTCTGTCAGCTCATAAAGCCTGGCAGAGAGATATTGGATTCAATCCTACAGCCATGTCTCCGTAAAACACATTACGCTGCATTCCTTATACTCTGACCTAGTCCTTGTCAGGGCTTGAAGTTCATCCACCTTATTAGCTAACAACTCACATTGCCTGTAATGATGGACGGGTAGAGTTGGTTTGAACTTCCTCCTTCTCTCTCCTCTTTGCTCCTGCTCTGCATCCACAATGCCTCCTTTTCAACTCCACTGGGATTTTTGGCTTCAGCTGTGGTACTACATCAGCTTTTCAGATGTTGAACAGCTGCTCCCAGCTATAAACCACCCTGTAGCTATGGTTACACATCATAACAAAATGGCTAAAATAAAAATATAGTCAAAAATCAGTCCAACCACACAAAATTCAAAACATCAGCTATCCACATAAGTTATTTTCCTCCGAAAAAAGCAGAAATGTATGTGTGAAAAAAAAATTTCTCAATGAAAGCACAGAGCTACTCCAATGTACTGCCACCGTCAGTAGTGCAATTCTAGAATCAACAATTCTAGAATCAACAATTCTAGAATCAACAATTCTAGAATCAACAATTCTAGAATCAACAATTCTAGACGTAAGCAGCTGATGTCAGGCAACCACATTTTTGTGTTCCTTACTTCTACACTGAAGCGTTGAACCAGACAGAGACATTTCCTGTGTCTTCCAGCTATCCAACATGGAGAGTGTGAGTTCAATGCTGCGTATGGCAGGTCCGGAGCTGGTGATGTTGATGTGTGAGAAGCTGGCCCAATTTGAGGATGTAGCACACAGACACAGAGCTGAGATGGATGAGGACAGAATCCGCTACCTTTCCTCAGAGGAGAAAATTCTCACACAGCTTAGGTAAGTGTGATTTTTCAAAATTTCTTTAAGTTTAGTTATGTGTTTAAACTCTTAAAACTTTTGCCAGATATTCCACAGGTGAGCAAAATTGTGTTGTCTTGTGGGTCAAAAGTGACCCATTACCATGTTTAGCTGTAGAAAAAATACCCTGGACAGGTTGCCAGTCTGACGCAGGGCAATGAGCCATTTAGTGGCAGGGAAACCGAATGGCTGCTCAGCAAAAAACAGTCAATAGTGTGTTGAGCATCATTGTGCCTAGAGGCATTTCAGCCTCCTAGGATGCAATTTGTTTCGAATATTTTAGATCTGTTCTGCAAATAACATTTTCCAATGCACATTAGCATTAGCATAGCATGCACATTTGCTAATGTGAATTGGCACATTTTTCCTTGACTAATTTCTAGCTATCTTCATTTCATAATGGATAGAAAATGTGTAATGGGGGAAATGTCCGTATTGCCTTTAGATTACAATGGATTCTTTAACAGATGTTAATTCTTTTACTACACAATTTTACAGTGGTTTGTGATACACAGAGACGATCACAACAGATATTTACTGTGTGGCTACAAGAGCTTCTTCTAATCATGCATCTATGAAAAAGCTAGTCTATAGATAAATAGACATTATCTTGGTAAGAATTATAAAAGAGCTTCATTTAGTCATCAAAATATTGATGATTAATAGAAAATAACAGCGAATACTTATTTTCCAGAGCTTGCTTGGGATTTTTGTCCAAATCTTGTTTTTTTTCTGTTTGAACAGGAAGCAGCAAAACAGATTTTGGGCATGATTTCAGAAGATTCTTTCGACATTTGCATGCTTGTTCTGATGTTATGCTCAGTGGCGGAACTGCAGCTGAATTAAAATCACTGCTGACATGCAAGAAAAAAAAGCATGAACAGCACAGTCACCACTGCAGGCATACAGAAACTGGGAGGACCCACATTGTTAAAAATAGAGGCGTAGGGTGGGAGGTGATTTGATCCAGTGTGACATGGTCTTCCAGAGATGTCAGAGCTCATTCTGATGTTAGCATACTGCACATTAAGGCCATACCTCAGATGACTTGGCTAACAGAGGGCTGAGATTTGTTGAAGACCACAAGTGGGAGTCTTTGGATTAGTGTGATACAATCACCTCTCCAGACACTAAATCAGATCCAACATTATTAGGAAAAATACCAATGTGCCAAGCTAACTCTGGCTTCAGTCGTAAACTTTTCTACAGGGAATGATGGCTGAAGAAAATCTCAGTAAATACCAGTGTCAACTTGTCTGCCTCAGTTAAGCTAGTTTATATTTGGCTGAAAGTTGAGGCACTGCAAACCTTTCAGTAGACTTCACATCTCTGTATGTTGTCATGATGCATCATTCTGCACTGTGTCCTGCTACGCTTTAAAATTTCAAAGATCATCAGACTGAACAGAGTTTTATTCAGGCTTTGATGCCAGTATGCCAATAAAATGACTTGATCGGCTCAGGGTTTTGTTTTTTTTAACTCACCCCATGAGGACAGCCAGTGCAGCAGTATTGCTTAGTTTAAAAACTTCATTTACAAGCGTATATTTTAATCACATAATCTGCATTCGGAGAACATAAGAAATATTTTTGGATGATTCAGACAATCTAAAGCCTTTAAGGTCGGTATAACAAAACAAGTCTCACAAAAGCCAGTCACTGCTGCCGTCTTCCAAGGCAACAGTTATTTTGCCTTGCATTTTGCAATAAATGGCAACATTATACAATGTAACCATTTATTTTCCAAATCAATGTTATACTAAAGGGAAGAGCACTTTCTGCTGGTGGTTTAGGTTGCCTTAGACTACTTTATTTGTTCACACTGTAGCATCATATCTCAGTAGCATGACTTTGGTTGGATGTTTCAAGCTCATATAATTGATTGCTAAAGTATATTCAGACAAATGTGGCTGAATATAGAATTCATAAGCTTAATAAGTAGTATTGGTTTTTGTAACCACATACTCAAACTTTATTTCTTTAAATATAACATAACATATAACTTTTATAAAGAATATTTTTTTTATGTATTTGTTAAAGCCGTCACCGTGTTGTGACATTTTGTTATGAGACAGATAATCTGTGAAAGGCTCGATCTCCTCCACTTCCTTCTTGAGTTATTATTGTCCACCGAAGACAATAATAATTTGTTTTTGTTTTTTCCCGACCAAAAACAACCAATGAGAGGCACAGGGAGGGGCATAATACTGTCCCCCAACCTCATTTACTTTGTGCTAATAGCTAATGACAACTTACACTGCAGCAAAACCATTTACCTGCTGTTAATGGTGCAATGGCTAGTCTGAACTTTCACAACAAGATGTACTGACAGGAAAAAGCTGTAGTGGCAGCAGAGAGCAAATATAAAGTGTGACTTAGAAGTGCTTTGGATATGTTGCAATTCTGATGGCAACAAGAGAACCTTCCTGCCCACATACCACCATCCACAATGATTCCTTGAAGATACTTGGATATATGAATTATGATAACATTAAAATTTCCTTTGAAATTACCAAATATTTTTTAATTGAATTGAATAAAACATTAAATGACTTCTGATTTTCAAATACTGCTGGGCCACTTTAATGCAATTTCACCACCCAAACTACTCAGGTAAAATCCTGCCCCTTGTCCTACATTTGGTCAGCTGGTCAGAGATTCTGAGCTCTCTGCAACTTAGCAATGACTACTAGCTCAAGGTTTAGACTCTATTGAAGTTAAAAATTTGACCAAATTGATAATAATATCCCATATTTAATACTCATGTTCAAAGCTACGAAGCGTTAAATTGCCTGCACTGTAAACAACCATCCTCCACATTGAGAGAGAAGTACTGATCCAAATGAGGCTGTTAATGTGAAAGGTGTAGTATTAGGTTTTCCTGGCAAATAGTGCCATTTTGTAGCTTAACCAAGTAACTATGTTACCTTCAGTTGTTATACAAGGCTACATATGTCAAATATGACTTAAAAGAAATTTGTCTTACTGATTAAAATTGTGCATCTGTCTCTTTAAGAACTCCTGCTCTTTCTGAAACTCCGCCTTCAGTAAGTCATCACAACCTGGCTCCTCTGTTTACCCTTTAACAATGTTTTTACTGGCTTTTCACTGAGAAGAAGCTCCTATAATGAGCTCAGCTGATGCACAGTTTCTACAAGTGTCTGCTAATTGCTACTGGCTAGTCTGAGGGAGCTGAGTGGGGGAGCTTCACTCATGCATTTTGGACAGCTAAATGGTTGCCATTGGAGGTCAAAGGATGTCTCAAAATATGCATAAAATACTCAAGGGAACACTCCAAGTATGTTTCTGATGAGAGAATAATATTACAGCGTGATGGTGGCGAAGACAGTAGGAGTTCACCCTGCAATCAGTGGCTCTCTGGTTTGATTCCAGGACTGCTGCCCTCATCATTTGTGTCTGTGAACAAGACACTGCACCCACTTTCCTTCACTTCCTCCACTGCAGCTACTGGCAGACTACAATTTTAAAACAGTCCAAAAAACCAATGTCATTGTTGGTGACTTCTCTTTCTGTTCTGCCCAGGATGAAATTCCACTGGAGGAATTCAAGTGAATGGGAGAAAGAAAAAACTGTGATGCAAGATTTGAATCCAGCAGAATAGTGCAGAAAGGTGGTGGTCAGGCTACACCCAACACAACTGCAGATTGAAAGTAGCCAAGACACAGTGTTTCAAAATGAAAGGAGCATTTTAGATGTATCAGAACTGATTAAAAAAAATTATTGGATGTAATCTAGGTAAAAGAACAAAAGTGACAAAGAAAGCAGGAGTTTAATAATCCCCCATCTTGAAGTTCATACCAGCTTTCTTGTTGCAGCATATAGAATTAAAAAGTTTGTCAGAATTTAACACAAAATGTAACAGTGAAACGCTCATTAGAAAAACAGCAAGAAAACTGTGGAAGTCCCTAAGGCTTGTCTCTGCTACCATCTGCTGTCCAGAAAAAGCCATCACATGCTGATTTTCCCAACTTAGCTGTCTTGTTTCTTCCACAGTGAACTGGAGGACTTCGTGGAGAGCTTGGAAAGCTCCTCTTCTGTCCATGGTCAGCCATCCTTCACCCTCAGAGATGTGGAGGAGGGAGCAGTTAGCCTGTGGAGGCTTGGAGAGGCTCTGGCTGTCCTCAAAGGTTGATCAGTTCCACTGAAACCACACATCACTTCATTTGGCCAACAAATCAAAGTTTGAGTTTTCCATGTAAATTCAGCCACTGCTTGGCATATTTTATGTTACATTTGGTGGTAAAATGGTACTAACAGAGATACTTCAAAATATTATTGATATAATTCTAAGCTTAAAAAATACAGGTACAATGTGTTTTGTTTTTCTTCTCTAGTCACAGTTGATGTCTCATGTTTCTGTGTGTGTGTTTGGTCTCTCTGCCAGGAGAATTCCCAGTGCTGCAGGCAAAAATGCGCTCAGTGCTGAGGCTGGAAGTGGAAGCAGTGCGCTTCCTGAAAGAAGAACCTCACATGATGGACTCCATGTTGAAAAGGGTCAAAGTGCTGACTGAATCTTTTAGCTCTCTCCGCAGGTATTGAGCAACATTTTCTGTGGTAAAGCTATTCTGTTCTGAAAAAAGTTGACTTTCCCTCTTTTGTCATTTGCTTTGAATAGACTTGTGTCCAATTCAGCACCCTCAGCAAGATCCATTCAAGTGGAGCCTCTGAAAGTACATAACCAGGAAACACCAACGACTCAGACCGCACACAGTTCACCCAAACCACAGTCTCGGCACTCAGTCAAAGCACCCAGGAGCCAGGCTGAGGACAATTCAGGAGCCTCAGGCTCCCCCAGCAGAATGAAGAGCACAATCACCTCCAATCAACACAACAGCTCTCCACCGACTACCAGTAATGGACTGGATTTGATCAGTGTAGTCAAGGTATCATAAAAAATATGGGCTTCACTACAAATACTGTCGCAGGTCAAACAGTTTATGATCCTTTTAGTTTCCTGTTTATATTTTGTTATTCTGCAAGTTTATACCAAGGACGGGGTAGGCGGAAAATGACACCACAATATACTTTTTAAATAAGTCGATAATATCACAGATGATAGACTAATCTTTCTGAAATCAGCTACCAAATGGAAATTAAAATACTTAAATACACAAATGAAACAAACTGTTGCTATTTAACCTAACATTAGTTTTACAAGATGCTAAAAAGTGTTACCTCCTCATAAACATTATGTACGAAACTAAGAATCTTGCTCGTACACAATGTTGTTTGAATACAAAAGGAAATCTTCCGTTTAGGTTTAAGGTTAGCTAGTGAATGTGTGTGTGAATGTATGATGCACTTTGCTTTGGAGACTGATAACACTCTCACTTCATATTTCTGTTCATCTCCCAGAGTTACCCTGTTCTCTTTCATCTACAGAATACACACAGACCAACTCCAGAGGGCAGTATGTGTGTAGACATCAGGAGCATAAACCAGTCCAGTACCACCAACGACCCCCAGCAGGAGAGTAATGATCCCAGTCATAGCCAGTCAGTCCACCTTCAGGAGACACCAAACACTAATATAAAATCTATAGTGGATGTGCCAGAGTGCACTGCCTCAGGAATGAAGTCTCCCTCCGCATTAACGCCACAGCAAAACACTCCTGTGGAATTGATACATGGAGGTAGGCCTGTAGAATCACCTCAGACTGCTCTCCTTCTGATGATGATTTGCTTCTACTTTTTGATTGCTTAAATGCTTGCTTTAATTTCAAAGTGCTTGCCAGTTCAAGAGGTAGTGAAATGTGTACTGAGGACATGCTAAAGCAGACGGGTTTTTCCCTCAGTCCATCTAAATAAGAAGGCTGAGGGGTCAGCTATGTTTATAGCAGAGACTAAATTTCGTGATTTCCCCAAGCATACTTATTTACTATCACAAATTATCCTAAATTATCTTAAAAAATATTTGTTTCATTTTCCAGAATATCTTTTTAGCTGGAAATATTTTTATAAGTATTAGACAACCTTTTAATGAACGTTTACTGTATGTTTTTGTTAACTAGCAGATATTTCTGGAACCCAGAAAGACACAACTTTAAAGAAAAGTGTTGATGTGAACTCCAGGGAGAGAAGAAGTTTAAACACAGGTAAAATTGTAAGATATATTTACTCTTTAAATATGATATCGTCTATTACTTAGCTATAATTAATGGGTTCCATAAAGATGTTTTCATTTTCATTCGCTGTATTGTGCATTATTTGGTAACAAAGACATAAACCTCATCACACTCACATCAGAGAAAGATGGAAACTGATAAGGGTCATGTGTCCCACCATTGTGCCAAAACTTTATGATCCAGTAAACACAGGAGAATATGTGGATTTAAAATAGTAACTGTTAAAGCATTCTTAAAAAGAAAATGCTTTAACATTTCTCTTGCTTTGTAGATGTTGCTGATTCACCTCCAGCAGTTTGTCCACAAGCAGAGAGCAGCAGGAGGCCACAGGCGGAGAAACCCCGCTGCTCCACCAACAAGAGGCAGGCCAGCAATTTGCCTCCACCCCCACAGAGGTCAGTGGATTGACATGCATCGGAAGACGATCCTGACAAACTATGAACCATCTGTCCTTTTTACGCATTTTATTCTTTTTGTTGTGGTTTTAATTTCCAGTATCTTTTCTTCATTTAGGTCAGGAGAACCAGTCATCATCACCTCTAGAGAGACTGATGGGATTCAGGTAGGAACAAAAACCATGAAGTGAAAGGTGAATGTTATAGTGAGTTTTGTTAATGAAACACAAAACTAACACAGTAAAATAGAAATGGTGAAGATTGGTCAGTTTTTCAACAAAACAGTAATCCATGTTTCTCTACTCTGCTTGAATGAGTTCACTGTGTCAAACTCTCTGGGTTTCTGTATGTAAAACTCCTTGTGTTTAATTTTTCTTCAAAGATGCGAGATTTTAATATTATATAAGGATAGCACAACATGGTCATTAACTAATACTATTTACTAGGATACTGTGCAAGAATAGCAAGACTCAAATGACTCAGAACCTTTTTCAAATCACACATAGTATCAAGTATTTTAGCATTGATAACCTACATTAAACAATATTAATGTAGACAAAAATTGTTCACCTTAATCCTTTTTGTGTTATATTTTCTGAATAAAACACAGATAACATTTGTGACAAGTTATCAGTCACAAATATAAGCAAGAATGTTTGGTGAATTCTTTATGGGTTAGGGTTATGGATTGTAATAAATTTGATAAAATCCCAAATTATGAATTTTTCTCTTTTAAATTTTGCCACATTCATAAGAGAATTTGAGGATTTTGCCTGTGAAAATTTGGCCAAATCCACTGAAAGCTGCTGCATTCTCATTCAGAGGATTAAGAATGACATTTTCATTGTGGAAGGCAACAAGTTAAATAAAAGCTAAAGGTCAGAGCTGAGGCATCACAAAGCACTTTTATTTAGTTTATGTGATCTGAAGTCACAATGTGCACATTTATTTTTAGATCTACTTGGCTAGAGTTGTTTCCAGTGTCTCAGATATTTTTTGCTGTTTTTATTTTTGCATTTGTTGATGCTCAGTTCCAATTTTTTTCTTGAAATTCATTGTTTTTTGCAGGGTTGTTTGTGCTACTAATTAAATGCGACCGCAATCAAACTTCGGCGTGAAGAAGGTCATAATGCAGCGCTCTGTTTATGGAAAAAATGATAGATGCCACAGTGTGTGGAAAGTTTATTCAGCAATGGGGACGAACATGAGTAAATAAATAGAAAGCACAACCAATCGCAGCAGCTTTTAGTGGAGCTTTAGCTGCAGCTTCTCTTGAGAAGTTTGTTTGGATGTGGAGTCGGACCAGGAGGTGGGATTGTGATGTGATGCACTTCACTAAATAATCATTTATTATAATCAATAATAAAGGATTATTGATATTATGTTGAATCTATTTACAGACCAAATGCCTTTTGATTCAGTTGTTTATTTCATTTACATTGTGACATTTAGTTACACATTCTTTCAAGCAGAGGGACTGGCCATCCTTCCTTTACAGGGAGGATGTGGGGAAAAGTCTGTTTGTTTCTGATTTAGATTGGTTTAATTTTTGTTTGCTAATTGTTTAAGTACATACTTTTCTGAGTGTGTCTCCGCAGCAGAGTGGAGCATATCATTATAATTAAGAGGGGTAATAAGTATTAGACAACCTTTTGGTCAGCTTTCTGACCAAAAGGTTCATCCTTTGATTGACCTTTGATTAGTTTAGTTCTAATGATTTGCATGCATGTAAATATATATTGGTGCCATTTATTGTTTTGTTAAGTTTGTTTTGTTTTTTGACAACCTCTTTACCTAGTATGAGTGTCGGAATTGCCCAGAGTATAACAGCCAGCTTCTTTGTCTCACTTACAGAATAGGTCTCGTTGTCAATGTGACCTGCAGCTCCAAATAAATTTACTTCAGCTGCATTTTCTTGCCTTGCCTCCTTTCTAAACGCAGTGCCTCCTGACTCATACTGCTTTTATCATTTCAAAACCTTCATAGTTATAAAATTCAGCTGTTATTTACATCCAGATTTACCATGTTTGGCTTCAAATAGAGCAGAATTATGTCTCACATGAATGAGATAAAAGTCAGATAAAATGTGGCAGTGGTAATCAGACTGCAGATGCTTTGAAAACTGTCAGATTGGATGTGGCTCAAATCAGATTTTGGGGAGATGAAAAAATGGGAGTTGGTCTGTTCAGATTGCTGTATGAGTGTAGCCAGAAGGCTTGATAGTCTTTGTGGATCAGACAAAAGGGGGCCGGTCAGAGGGGCTGCAACAGGACCAACTTTTCTGATAAAGCTTTTATGTAAGTTAGTAAAACCCAGGAAGCTTTGCAGCTGCTTCCTGTACTGTTCAAAACGACTCAGGCTCAGGATTTTCATTGAAACCTCACCAAGAAGCATATCTAAGAAAGTTGGAAGTGGTAAGAAAGTCCCACTTTTCTGCCTTAAGCAAAAGGCAGAGACGTTCTTCAAGAGCCTCTGGGCTTCCTGCAACAAAATATTTTCTAGTCATTTGCACAGTTTGAGTCCTGCAGTTGAGTTTGCAGTTAATGTAGGCCTAATAATGTCATGTTGGATTTTAGTTTTTTCACCCACATGCAGGCTTCAAACAACCAGCCATGAGAATTGAAGTTCAAAAGATTTATTTTACAGTCTTTAGTAAGAATGGTGAGTCCGGGTTGCCCTCTGAGCTGGAAAACGTAAGGTCGGCTTGGGTGCTGCTCGGAGAGGGGAGAGGTTTAGAAAGGAGAGGACGGCGGGATCGTGGCAGAGGAGGGAGCGAGAAGGCTTACAGTTCATCGGGGAAGGAGAGTTTCTGAGGGAGGTGGTAAAAATGGTTAGTGTGGAGGTTCCGGCAAGGTATTAGGTGCCGAGGCGGCAGGCAGATGTTTCTGGTCAATCTGTGGTCTTGCTCGGCAATAGGGCAGGTGCAGTTCCTGGCAGAATTCAAACGAGACGTCATCAATCTGTGGGAGAACACACACAACTTACGTAGTTCTTCTGTGGACCTGAGACTTAACAGAACATTAGATTTGATTCTGACCCACAAGTGGGACCATCGAGCGATGACTGGCTGCACCACCGCTCCTTAAGAATCCTGCCGCCCATTGTAGGAGATCCGCTTCAGGTGCGGTCCCACGAAGATCGTCTATTGCAAGAACACTCACACCAACTAAAATCCTAACAAATAAGGTTTATACTTTTAACATCAAGCAGCCACTAACTGAACTGTTCAGGCAGTGCTGCTGTTTCCCACATGAGACATGTAAAGATTTTTTTATTTAGTTTTTATTTAGATTTTTTTTTATTTAGTTAAGATTTTTTTATTTAGTTTATGTTATCAAAAAGGATAAATGTACTTTTTGATAACATTCCACATTATTCACTGTGGTTTTCAAGATAATGATGAATGTTTAACTGTATCATTTGCTTGATATTCAGGAATTCAATGGACACGATTCTTCACTTTGTCAAGTCAAATGGGATGTAATTCTAAGGGAAACAGACCCATATCTTTATAACTTGAGGATGAAAACCAGATTATTGTCATTTTTTCTGATTTTAGGTTGCTAAAGAAATATCAAAGGAAATCCATCTGCCAAGTGGAAATGAAAAGACACCTCCACCCGTTACCAAAATGTGGCCCTCTGACATGGCAAAATATGGACAGAGATTTACTCCTCAGTTTGAACATCCAAACGTCTCTTCTGTTAAAGCCCAGACTCCAGGTGTGGCGACAGCGCTTCACAGGGCTAAGATGACAACAGGTTTAGCCAAGATGAAGGTTCAGCAAGTGCCTTCCATAAACTGCACCTCAGTGACGAAGGTGTGGACAGGGGAAATGGAGCTGCAAACACTTCCACCCAAACACAAAGAAGATATTCTTGTTATGAACGTCTCTGATCAGTGCAAGGACGAAGCAGTTGGACATATATTCTCCTCAGCTGTGGCTAAAAAGCTTGTAATTCCTCTTAAAGAACAAAATCAAAATCCTAAACAGACAAATGGGTTTGTCAAGAAACCTCTTGATGAGAAGGCGAATGGAATGTTGGTTTCATGTTTACAAAATGAAAATGTTCATGAGGAGCGCCAGATCCAGCTGCCGCCAAGGTCAGGGCCAAAGCAGCTCTGGAGTTCTGCTCACGAACATAAAACTTCTCCATCAGTCCCCAAACCTTTCTCCTGTTTGCCTGACGTCGCCGACAGGCCAAGCAGCACGCAGCAGGAACAAGACGCAGTTTTGGAAGGATCCAGGGATCAACCGGCATGGAGAGAAGGAGGAAACCTGAGCTTCACAGCAACAGATGACAGAGCAGCTCCTCTTTCTCCACAGACTCCAGAATGTATTCATAGAATCCCCCATACACACATTAGTTCACAGCCAGGTAATATGACAGACTCTGAAGGCTCTTACATGGATTATATTCACTGTGGTTTTCAAGATAATGATGAATCTGATAAAGACTCTGTGATAGTTTTCATAGAGGATACTGAGGACTTTTATATTCCTCTGTCTACAATCCTTGAGTGTGAGGAAGAGGATGAGGAGCTTATGGCTACTAACAGGACTCTAAAGGAAGAACCAGATCTGAAATTAAAATTTCCCACTGGACATGATTCTGACATCTTAGGAAATATGAAGACTTCTCCTCAATCTGCATCATTTTGTGACTCTGTTTCTCAACTCCAAGGCCAGGATCAAACAAATATGAACATGAAAACGTGCTCCAAAAAAAAGTTTAGTATAAATTTCCCAAAAAACAAACTGACCGCCCTCAGCCAAGTAATCCGAAGAGGAAAAAATAAGAAAGGGAAACAGTTTTCTAAAATAGATGCACATGACAAAGAGCAGAAAGCAGGAACCAGACCAGTCATAGAAAGCAAACAGACCAATGAGGTGAGCATGAGCCAACAATTCCTACCAGACAACTCCTCTGACAGAGACATCACTGCAGGTACAAGCCTCTCAAAGTTGTACCCTCGGGTGGAGGAGCTCCGCAAGAACACCTTAGATTCAATGAACAATTTGGAGGAATCCATCAAGCAGCTGGAACTGGAACTCAGTGTGGAAAGCATAAATCCCTCATCTGATGACGGCGCTCAATGTAAAAGAAGAGTGAAAGAAAACAACAGCAGCTCTCCCTCCAAAAGAGCAGCCAGTCAGACCGCGAAGAGTAAAAGAGTCAGACTGCAGCCTCTGCTCAGCCCAACCAGCCAACAGGTCTGACGTTGTTCTGCAGTCACAGCTTCCTTCCTTCAGTGGGTCAGCTGGTGTGGGCTCTTCACTCTTTATTTTTTGGCTTCAACTTTAGTATTGTAAATGTCTGCTAGAGGTTGTTGTTTAGTTGAAATATTAGTTCTCTCTGAACTTCATGTCATGGGTTCTGTTATGTTTTAGTTTGCTCTTTAAAAAGCTCATTTGTTGAGCTCAGATCAAACATCTGGCAGGTTATGAAGCTACTCTCTTGCACATCCTGATTTATTTCATTAATATAAAAGAATGAATCTGCAAAACATTTCTTCTGTGTATTGTTTCCACAATATGCATCTTCAAAACTACTCTGGCTATTAACTATTCTTCTACTTATGGCTAAAATATGACTAAATATGACAAATGTTTTTAAGCCTTACACAATGACATAATTAACCAATTCCTCCAGTCTTATATTAAACACATCCTGGGGAAGTTTGGACTTTACTTTTAGAGCTTCCACAAACAAAGTCTCTATGTACGACTTCTAATAATTTCTATTTCATCCTTGTCAATCAGAGCACATAGATGTGACTTAATGTATAAAGTCATGACCTTGCTAGAGGTGATTACAAGAAAATATCCCCTCAAGGCGTTATGGTCCCCATAAACTCCCATTGTAGACAGAAATAGGTTCCCAAAAGGGTATTAAAAACCTGGAACACAAACACATGTTTGCAACCTGTGGCCAAGCGTAAAAGCAGGAAATTATTACATGAAACTTCACAACAGAAAGACACTAAATGTGTTAATCATTTAGATTTATTTGTCCTGTTATTAGGCTGGAAACTGTGCAAATATCAACATCCTGTGTATGAAAGTCTAGACATAATCTTATTGAAAAAGTTGTATATTCTTCTTCTTATTAAGATCTTAAAGTATGAAATGAAAGGAAATCTTAAAAAAATAGATATTTACAATATATTTTTTCAAAAGTAATATTTGTGGCTCAAAACCTATTTTATTAAACAGGACTCAGAGCAAAAATTGATTTTTGGATTGTAAATGTTGCAGACCATTGTTCTAGTAGAAAGAATGTCCCAAAACTTCAGAGTTAACAGACAGGCTGCTTGGATTTATTGAGAAGATGACCCAAGTTTGGAAGGGTGGCAGGTGACTAAGATTTGTTTTTCTGTCTGTTTGCTAGAGCTCCAACACATCTACTGAGCAGCCCCACAACAAGCTACAGCACCCCCCCTGTGGGTCACCTGAGGGAAGAGCAGAAGTTCTGCAACAGCCCAACAAAAGCAGGTAGCTGGCTGAGCTGAACATATATATATGTATAGATAGATATATAAAACTGGAGTTTGCACAGGGGCATCTTGTGAGTTCTTTCATTTTCTTTAGAGAAAGCATTTAGCCAGAAGGAAAGTAAACGCTTTGGTTAAATTCAAAAGCGTTTCAGTTTAAAATGATTGGTATTCTAACCTGTTATGATAGAAAGTCTTATCAGTGGAAATCCCAGAGCAGTGTGGTGTTTAGTATTTTATTTTAGGTATTTAGACATTGAATGTGTTGCTGTTTGCAGTCAGTGTTTCTGAAGTACATTAAGCAGACATTAGTAGCTCTAGATCTTTGGAGTATTGTTGAAACCACACATAGATATCACATATATGTGTTTGTGTGAACCAACACACAAACAGCTTGTGTTAGCAGGTTCTGCCTCTGCTGGAAGCCTGGCAGGTCTGAGCCGAGTGCTGGTGTGTGTGCTGCATGGGACCGTGGTGGATCTTTAAACATTGCTTTATGGAAAGTTCTGGGAAACACCTGTTTACCTTTCACACCCTCACCGCTCAGACCATACCTCTTTCTCTGGTGCTTCTTCACATTTGTTTTTTCCACTTTTTATAATGGGAATCTCCCCTTTCAGCCTCTTCCTTCTCTTCCAGGAGTCTCACACTCCTTCCTCTTCCCAGACATCCAGGAAGCTTTTTCTTTTTCTCATCATCTTCCTCATCAGTTTCTCCAGCAAACTTCCCACCTTGCTTCCTTAGCTTTTTGTCTCCATAGTGTAATGATAAGCTGTCTGACTCTGTATCATGTGCTTCTAGCAACATGCTGTCTCATCCTCATGCTAACACTAGAAGAGGCCTGTAAGCAGCAAGAGCTATCACTGAATCTCTACAGCTACCACTGTGTTCTACTCATCCCTCCCCACTGCCTTCTTCTTCTCCACCACATGATGGACTCCTGAAATAACAGATGGATCTGAAAATGGGAGTACAGTTCGACCATCTGGACTCCAAAAATAAAACAAGACAACCAATGATCACACCATATTCCTACAGCAATATTGTGTGTGTGGTTGTGTGTGCGTGTGTGTACGCGTGCGTGTGTGTGTGTGTATGTGTGACTGGACTGCACCTCGTCACTCCAAGCCAAAAATATGTCTTATCTGTGTAAGCTATATTTATTATCAAATATATTTTAGTAAAGTAATTATAGACGGTTGTAAGATAGTATTTATTAATAGACACTGTTGATTATGTAAAATTGAATAATTTGCAGGTCATATGTGAAAAAAAAAAAACAGAATCAATGTAGAGTTCTTGCTATTAGGTTTAGAACAGTTTGAAGTTTTAGCTGCTCAGGAGAAAGTGACCCAGAGGCTGAAAGGTTGAGGACAGAACAGATCATGCAGCTGCAGCAGAGAGACTGCTGGACATAAATATTGATCTAGTAAGTCTTCAGAGTCATGGAGGATGGTGATGCTGTGGGCAGGAAGCATCTCCTGTTGTGATCAGTACTACAGTGGCTGTGAAGAAGCTTCTGACTGAAGATGCTGTTGGATACTTAGAGCTGTGTAAAATGTTTCTTATTTGATGAAGAATCCTTCTTTGCGTCATCATCATCATCTCAAGTCCAAAGAGACTCTTGTATGTCTGAAGCTGGAAGTTGCTCATCCCTGATCTAACTCCAAATTTTCTAATTTTGCATTCTAAAATATGGAATGCAATTTTATTTACGTCACCACAATCCACAGTCTACTGCCTGAATTCATCAGTCATTGCATCCTGGAACTTAAATTTCTTTTCTTGTTTTATTCTTCTGGAACACCCAAACACATATGCAATACGAATACAATATTAGTATCTCACATAAGCTACAGGATATTCCACATTTTTAAAACCAGAAATATAATTCAGTTTAAGCTGTGATCTGCTTAAACAGATTTAGCAATATGAGCAATATCACTGGCTTAGGCTGACCCAATAAACACTTCCTCTACTTTAGGCATACTGAAATATTTTTCAAGTGTAATATTAAGTCACAAACTTGATATTTCAATTGAGCTATAACATTTATAGTTCATGGTTTCAGTTGGTTTGAAGAACAGGAATTGGAACAAAGAACATGGAAATACTCTACATAAGAATCTAAAATGTCAACTAAAGGCATGTTTTTGCATGGAGAACTTGTACGCCATCTTATCAGATCTGACTTGAGGTCAGTCTGTTTTTGTTTTGTAAAAGAGCAATGTCAACTCCTCTGTTCTGTTTCTTATATAAAATCTGAACATTTGTAAAACACATTGAGCAGAAATGCTTGTATTTCCTGTATTTATTTGTGTGTATTGTTCATATAAAAATGTTTCCTGATTTAGTTGTTTTTAAGCCATAACCTTGTATCTGAGTCTGTCTCTTGCAACTATTAAATGATTTCTTGCATGGCAATCAAAATCTTCTCCTGTTGTGCTAAGATTTACCAGCAGAGGGCAGTAGAGACTCTTCAAGCAGACCCTCTGTCAGTTTGTTTCTGTTTAAAGTTCTAAAATTACATCTAACTTCAAGTGTTCTCACCATAAATCCAGTGTTTGAAAGTTGATATAGATAGATAGATAGATAGATAGATAGATAGATAGATAGATAGATAGATAGATAGATAGATAGATAGATAGATAGATAGATAGATAGATAGATAGATAGACAGACAGACAGACAGACAGACAGACAGACAGACAGACAGACAGACAGACAGACAGACAGACAGATAGATAGATAGACAGACAGATAGATATATAGATATATAACTGCACTGATTATTCTTGAAGTTTTCTGGGTTCCTACATCTAAAATAAATAAAGAAATAAAAGTAGCATTATTATCCTGACAATTTGAATTCACTTGAATTTGAATTTGTTGGCCATTTAAAAGATACACAGTCCTTCAGGCTAAAGCTTAAATCTGAGTTGAAGCTGCTTTGATATAGAAAATAATAATGAAATTCCAGACTGGTGGAACCTGATAGAGGAAACCAAGTTCAAAAGCAATAATTATAATTGGTTATTATTTGCTGACATACTAATCCATTCAATAATTTAGATTATTATTGAAATGGCCATTCATTTTAGATAGATAGATATATCTGATAAAGTGTTATTATATAGATTAATAACACTTGAATATTTGAAAGCCTTAATTTCTGTTAATTATGATCATTTTCCACTTACAGCTGATGAAAACTTCACATTTGAATGACTAAATCAATCCAATATGTTTGATGCCTGTTTCAAGGATATTTTTTAAAAAGAGGTACTTTTAATCTGACAAACGAACCCTGTATCCTAATTTATTGAATATGACTATTTGTGAATAAATAATTAAAGATATAATAATAATCAAATACGAAGACTCAACTCATTGGTTCAGATGGTAATATAGTGACACAACAACCAAACTAAAGATTATTCTTTGCACTTTTACAAAGTAAATTTGAAAATGTTATCAAATTTCAAACAATCTCTGCTGAAGCCATCAAATCAAATGTAGTATGATTTTCATTCTCAAAAAACAAATACATAAAGGTAGACCTGTGGTCTACATTTCAAATTTAAGCATTTATGGGCACCTGACTGTGTGGGGGTTAGGGTAGCAGTGGCTTAGTCTGCTTATTTCTTGGGCTGGCTCTGACTAAAACACACTGAAAGGCAGAAAAGCTGAGCGCTAACAATAGACGGTAACCTGGGTGACCGAGTCCAGTCCTGGAGAACCAGCATCCTGCTCCAACACACCTGGATGATGACCTCAGTGGGTTGGGCTCTCTGAGCTGCCCGCCTGGAGCTCAGCAGGACCTTCTGGAAGAAAAGTTCAGAAGCTTCACTTTCATTATAATATAAGCACTTTCTTTTTCTCTTCTCCTTCGTTATTTGGACGGAAACAATATGGTGTACTCCAATCATCCATGTTTCACGAGCATAATGAGATGGCCCAGCCCTGTAATTGGTAAAATTATTAGTCATTATATCCATCGTATGCTAATTAGCTCATAAGTTAATTTGTTGGGCCAGATGAATCCCCGCACCCACTCATTGTAATTAGTCTGTAATTCTTCTGCATCTTGTGAACAGGGGACAGCAGCAGTCCTGAAGAGCAGCAGGAGGGACTGGGGACTAATTAGAAATATCTCACATGAAGCATTTCTATATTAATTACAACATTTTCCCTTCTCTGATATTTTTTCTTCCTTCTCCTCATAATCAGGCTGCATCAGAGGAGGACAATATAAAACCAACAAGGAGCCAGTCTGCTGTTTAATCAAAGATGTGGCTCTTTATTTGCATTTCTAATTGGAATTAATTAGAATTGCCTAAATACTGTACTAATTGTGTGTGTATTCATGTGTGTGTTCACAGGACTGGTAGATATGATTGCTCACAGGGATTTCTTCATTTATCAGAAGATATCATCATCATCATCAGAAATGCTGAACTGCCTTGTTTGGAGAGAAAAACACAATATTATAATGAAGCAATGATTCCTTGTTTGTTGTAACATTCCTGTTCCTATGCAGTTCCACAGATCTGGACACAGAAACTCCAGCTTCTTACAAGTCTTTATGTTTTCATTTCATGTTTCATTAGTTTTTCTGGATTCTTGAGTAACTGCTGTCTGTGAAACACCTGAAGTTTATACATGATACCAATGTTTTTTTCTGATTCAGGATGTATTAGAACAGGATTCAGTTGGTTGATCAGAACCACGTGGGGCTAAACACTGTGGGGATGAGTGGACCTCCAGGGAACTTCCTCCACACCCTTAATCCCTCTCCATCCTCAGCTGTAGGTTGCATCTAGTTCCCAGCAGCGGCTTTGTCTCAGGACCTGCCTTGTTCTCACTCCTCAGAGACAACAGACTGGACTTTATGCAGCAAGTCCAGAAGTCCAACAAAGGAGCTGCTCATCGTCTTCATGGCTGTTTTTCAGAACAGAACGGGTCCAAACTGCAACAAATGTTCATGTCTGCAGTGAACATCATCATGGCTGATCTTACATCCAGGACTGCTGCAGGTTTAAGGTCAGGAAAATTGAAGCCAACATTGCTGCAGACACGCATCCTGGACACAAACTGTTTAAACTTTTATGTTCAAATAAGCACAAACCTGCTGTTGCAGAGACACTTTCTTCCCCCAGGCTAACAGGTTATAGTTTTCTTTTATTAAAACAAAAGCATGCATAAAGATATGCATCTTGACTTTTAAATGTGTAGTTATATTTAATGTATGTTGCTGTAAGTGTGTGAGTTCCTTCCATATGCACACAATCTCAAATAAATCTGATTCTGATACATAGGCATGTTTCTCCATCTAACGATGTACACCACAAACTGTCCATCTATTTTTACCTCCAGCTTGCAGAGTGAGAAGCAGGTCACACCTACACAGGTCAGTCACACGGCAACAAACAAAGAACTCAAGGAGTGGACGAGAAACTGAGACGCATATATTTGTAGACTCAGCAGTTCATCTACATCTCAAAGCCTGAGTGGCTGAGAGGAGGGAAGTCTGCTACCACCTGTCAGAGCATCTCTCCCCCATTCAACTCCTTCAGACTAGCTAGCAGCACTTAGCAAAAGCCTGATGGAACTGTGCATTTTGTGAACTCACTATAAGCTACTTCTCAGTGCAGCAGTGGTAAAAAACAAACAAAAAAAACGTTAAACGGTTAAGTCAGGAGGTGTGTTGTGATGGCTTCACCTCCCATTCGTTACTAAAGTATTGACAATGCAGTGTTCAAAAAGTTAAATAGCTTCCTAATGATAACCAAACGTTTTGACTCCGTCCAGTCTGGTTTTCAGACTCACCACAGACTGCCTTGTAAAAGTGTTCAATGATATCCATACAAATACGGACTGTGGAAGAACCACAGTGCTGGTTCTGTTAGACCTCAGTGCAGCTTTTGACACTGTTGATCATGACATATTACTGAATCGACTGGAGATTTGGCTCGGACTCTGGACCACCACTCAACTGGTTCGAGTCTTACATAAAGAGCTTAGATTATAACAGGAAATAAGATTAGCTACCATAATTATGAGGATGATACATAACTCTACATTACGAAGTCACCAGGTGACCTTTGAACCCATCTAATCACGATGCTTATAACAGATAAATGTGTGGATGTGCCAAAACTACAGCTGAACAGAAACAAAACAAAAGTTATCTTTGGACCTAAAGAGGAATGATCTAGTCGTTCCTCTAGATCGTTCCTCTTCAGTTATTACAACTAAAACCTAGAGATCAGGCCCGAAATCTGGGAGTAGTGATGAACTCTGACCTGAACCTTAAGAGCCACATAAAGACAGTTACAAAGTCGACCTTCTATCATCTGCAAAACATTTCAAGGATTAGAGGACTAATGTCTCAGCCAGATCTAGAGAAACTCATCCATGCGTTTATCTTTAGTTGTATTAATTATTGCAACTAAAGATAAACGCAGCGTCTTCACAGGCCTGTCCAACAAAACAATCAAAACAGCTGCAGCTGATCCAGAACGCTGCTGCTCGCGTTCTCACTAAAACCAGGAAGATAGAGCACATCACATCACACCAGTTCTAAAGTCCCTCCACTGGGTCCCTATAGCTCAAAGAATAGCCTTTAAAATACTGTTGTCTGTTTATAAATCACTGAACGGCTCAGCATCACAATACATTAAAGATCTGCTGTTGTTGAATCAACCTTGTAGACCCATCAGGTTCTGGTTGCTCTGCATACCCAGAACCAGAACTAAACAAGAAGCAGCGTTCAGCTTCTATGCATCACAAATCTGGAATAAACTTGCAGAAAACTGTAAAACAGCTGAAACACTGACTTCCTTTAAATCTAGACTAAAAACACACCTGTTTAGAGTTGGGTTCAAAACGTAATCATGAAAGATTAATCAATAATCTGATGTGCAAAATGTATTGTTGACTGTGTTCTATGACTTTGTAATTTTGTTTTTATAATGTAAAGCACTTTGAAATGCCTTGTCACTGAAAGGTCCTATACAAATCAAATTTGATTGATTCCTGAAAGCGGAGTTTCAAAAAGGAGTTCATAAAGAAACAAAGCCCCAAATTCAAAATGTTAAATTACAGTCAATTTTCTAGGTCACATTTAATATATACAGAATTTCCATAACTGAAGGAAACATATTAGCTGGTTGTGCTATAAAATGGCACTATGTGCCTAGAAAATCCCCCCCTTTAAAACTGAAGAGAGCAGTGAAGTTGGCATCAAGTGCATTTAGATGATTTAAAACAAAGTGAGACTCCAAATGAAGTAAAAACCGCCTTAAAGCAACAGCAGATAAGAAATTCAAAGTTAAAGACCCAAATGTTCATGTAAATAAATATGAAACAAGTGGAGAATATTCAGCTCATGACCTTGGCTCAGTCTGTCTCTCGTTCAGTCA